CGCTACTAGGAGCAAGGGCCTTACTAGTAGTAACAAGAAGCTAGTAGGAACGAGAAGAAGTGAAACAATAAGAGTTTCTTGCACCTCCCTGTTTTTTCAGTTTCCGCTCCAACAGGACCAAATTGCGCAAGCGGGACGTCACAGGTTTCGCTTCTGGTTGCCAGTGCTGGGCCTCCTCCTTGCACATACTGCGAGCAAGCCAATCCACTTGGATCCCCACACTCAGAACCCCATCAACTTGCACCCCAGGTGCGGGATTTAAAAAAACAAAAACAATTAGATAAACTTGTGTGTCCCAGTTATTACTATATATTTGTTTGTGTTTATATAGCCCAGTTCACCCATGGCCATAGCTATAGCCATCCATGTGATGGTTCCTTCTTATTCGTCACGGCAGTGTAAATTCATGTGTGTGTGTGCATGGTTTACCAACTTTTCTGCTTGAGTTCAGCCACTTCATACGTGCTCAAGCTCAGGGTGACGAACCTCTTGCAGCCCGCAGTCCTCTACGTAAGGGATGTTCGTCATGACAGCGTACCGCACTTTGGCAAGGCGAAAGATATTCTCCACGTGCTCGTCCTCTGACAAGGTTTTGTTTTCACGCATCCCTTGACCTTTGCCCGTTGTCTCCAAACATGCAGAGGGAACTCCTTGTTCGTTAGTGCCGAATGCCTAGAACTGTATGATCTGTATGCGCCAAGACTTGTTGCAAAAGGCACTGCCAATCTCAATCAGGGCCACATGACACCTTTGACGTTTCTGCAAACTCCGCTAAACGCAATATGGCCTACGCGCGCCTTCACAACACCTAGTCTAGGCATCTCTTCTCAAGGCCCGGGCCAAGCCAACAAAAACCAAGCCCAAACAAGGCCATGCTATGGTATGTAAGTGAAAGATAATTTGCATACACCATCTTGCACCTCCAAACTAGTAGCGTTGCAGCTCTCTCTTCCGCAAAGCCGGGTCCAGGGATTGTTGAGCGAACCAGGCTCGGATGCCTCTCAAATCTCTGTCTGCAACTTGCCTCTCCAAGCCTAACCTGGTGATGCTGCATCACAACGTCGAGGTTGTTTTGTCAACTTGGAACCTAAAAACCACAAGTTTTTGCCTCTAAAAAGGCCCAGTCTGGGCTCAAGTCATCGTGGGTTCAACTCCAACCGTCGAAGCGTAAAAAACACTGTGCAGTGCGGTGTGTGTGTGTGTGCATGTGTGTGTAACCCTTGGATTCACAGGGAACCTTTCGGTTTGGAGCAGGGGCATGTGGCACCCTCGCCCTACCACACACAACGAAGCTGTAGCAAGGCCTGGTCAGCCCTGCGTACCTGCTCCACTATTGAGGAAAACAAGAGGAAATGGTACTCGACACTTGTGCGTCGGTGCCTTTCCTTCTGTTTTCCCCTAGTCTACTCTATAGGTTTGCAGGTAGGCCCCCAACCTTGTAATGTGGACCTTCAACCCGAACTCTTTGGCCTCTACCCACTAGCATTGGCCCTTAACTTTGGCTGTTTTGTGTGTCTTGTGTTTCTTGTCACCAACCTACTAGCGGTGGCCCCTCAACCTGCCCTCGTCGGCCTCCAACTTAAGAGTGATGACCCCCAACCTTGCTGCTCGCTGTCACTTTTGTTTTGCTTGTGCATACTACCTACCACCTACTAGCGACGGCCTCCAACCTTAGGCGTTGACCTCCAACGGCCTTGCGATGACCTCCAACCTAAAAGCGATGGCCTTTAACCTACAACTTTTGTTTGCTTGTGCGTACTACCTACCACCTACTAGCGATGGCCTCCAACCTTAGGTGTTGACCTCCAACGGCCTTGCGATGACCTCCAACCTGAAAGCGATGGCCTTTAACCTACTACTTGTCCTGGTATCTCAAGCTTTTTTAAAACCAGGCCGGCGTGTGGCAAACCGCATTCACATCAGTACGCATTTCTATAAGTGTGTCTCTCCTAGTGAGAGCCCAGGGTGCCCCCGCAGAGTGGCCCCTGTGGACCCGTTGAACGGGGTGTTCGTTATTGTTCCCCCTGCCGGGGAACGTGGGTGTCCGAAGCGGACAAAGTAGGCTTAGGCCAAAGTTATTTGCCAAGACTTGCTGATGTATTGAATTCCAAGCTGGCTCATGCCTTTACGTGGCCGCAGCGGTCTAAGCTGCCAGCCATTTTGGCAGGGCGTACGCGGCCGCAGCGGCCGAAGCTTGTTCAAGACCCGTTGGAGTCTGTCGGGACCTTAACTCCCTTCCTCCCCCCTACCCTTCCCTTCTCCCTTCCCTTTTGGGGTGTTCCTGAATGTAATACTCAGGTACACCCCTCTCTCTCACTGGTGTGTCCCTGACGGGTGCTCGTAGCGCTCTCTCTCTCTCTCTCTTTCCTTTCTTCGCCTTCCTTCTTCCTTGGGTGTCCCTGGATGCTTTCGTCATAGCTGGGGGCCCTTCCTTTTTGGTGTGTCCCTGGACGCTTGCGTCGTAGCTGGGAGCACCTTCTCCTTTCTCTCCTTCTCTTTTCTTCCTCCCCTTCCCCCCCTTCCTTTCTCGCGCGCGGCGTGCCTACAAGCAAACAAGGCTTCTGCAACAGGTTTCTTAATGAGGTTTGGTTTGTCATCGGTTTGTCCCCTTTCATTTGGTCCCCCTTTCATTGGCCCCTACAAACGTCATCCTTTCTTTTCTTTCATGTCTTTCTGTCTTCATGTCTCTTCATCCTCATCCTTTCGATCTCTTGCGCGCACCTTCGTCCGGACCTTAGCTTGTACACATACGCGCACGCGTATTCTACTTACAACTAGGTTCAGGTGGCCCAGATTTGTTGCAATGAGGTTTGGCTCATCGGTTGTCCCTCTTCACTTGGTTCTTCTTCATCGGCAACCACATACACTTTTTGTCTGTCTCAGGGGGGTGTGGCACTCTCGCCCTACCACACGCAATGAAGCTGTGGGCGAGAGTGGGAAGCAGCCCTGCGCACCTGCTCCACTATTTAGGAAAACAGGAGGAAATGGCACTCGACACACTTGTGTGTCGGTGCCTTTCCTTCTGTTTCCTGTAGTCTACTCTATAGGTTTGCAGTTAGGCCCCCAACCTTGTAATGTGGACCTTCAACCGAACTCTTTGGCCTCTACCCACTAGCATTGGCCCCTAACTTTGGCTGTCTTGTGTTTCTTGTGTTTCTTGTCACCAACCTACTGGCGGTGGCCCCTCAACCTGCCCTCGTCGGCCTCCAACTTAAGAGTGATGACCCCCAACCTTGCTGCTCGCTGTCACTTTTGTTTTGCTTGTGCGTACTACCTACCACCTACTAGCGACGGCCTCCAACCTTAGGTGTTGACCTCCAATGGCCTTGCGATGACCTCCAACCTAAAAGCGATGGCCTTTAACCTACTACTTGTCACTTTTGTTTGCTTGTGCGTACTACCTACCACCTACTAGCGATGGCCTCCAACCTTAGGCGTTGACCTCCAACGGCCTTGCTATGACCTCCAACCTGAAAGCGATGGCCTTTTTAACCTACTACTTGTCCTGGTATCTCAGGTTTTTTAAAACTCAGGCCGGCGAGTGGCAAACCGCATTCACATCAGTATGCATTTCTATAAGTGTGTGTGAGTGTGTGCGCCTCGCCTCTGCAAAGTCGTAATCACCCCTTGGCAAGCCTCCGAAATGGGCGAGCGCTCCACAAACAGCCCCTGCCAAACCTGAAGCAACCCCGAACTCGCAAAATGAGAATGACCTTATGTACACAACACCAAGTAGCCCAAGCCAAAGCCGCTAGAAATTAGGCCTTTAACTTTGCAAGCCCGGGACAAAAATGCAGCAATACTCCGCTCAGCTGCTTTGGAAAGCACCCCCCCGGAAGCAGAATGGTTTTTGCAAAGCAGCAAGGTCAGATTGCTCTAGTTTGGTCTTGGCGAAGAAAAGTTCGTGCGTGATCTCTGCTGGCGCAACCATGAAATATTCAGACCTTATTTGCCAAAAGGATCTCTCGCGCTGCTCCATTTCGACACAACATTCAGAACATTGAGAAACCACACTATGCAAGTAAGTTGCACCAAGTAGTGGTAAGTTAGCAATTCATCAATACCCCACAACATCAACTTTCCATGAGACGGTGGCCTTGGCTGGTGGCAGTCTGCTGGCACTGCTGCAAGTTGCCACTTGCCAGTGGGAAAAACAACGAGTTCAAGCACGGCCTGTCACTCATCTTAAATCACAAACTAAAACCACAAGCAACGGACACACGTGCCATTGAGGTGCAATAAGTGCGTGTGCACATCGATCACTTCGACGTCGCGGACATCTTCCAGAAGTGCTGGGCCCACAGTTTCCGGGGTCAGAACTTCTTGGCTGCCCTTAGGGCACCACACCGAGCAATGGCACAAATGGCCACTCAGCACAGCGCGATCCACGCGTTAAGTCGTTAAGTATTCTAGCTGAGTTCACACTTCTATGGCAAGCAATGCTGCGAAGTTTCAGTGTTGCGCATGGCACGGCCACCGACCAACCACCGCGCCAAGCTACGGAACTTGAGCAGAACTTGAGCCGATTCCAAAGTGGCACTCGCTGTGTAACATATTTGAATCCTTGTTCCGATATGCTACACCCGTCTCAACGGAAAGAGCATAATTGTCTACAGTCACTCACCTGTGATGTTCGAATGGCCCGCTGAACCGGGAAACCGCGCCGATCAAGAGTAGTGAACGACCTTCAGCATCCAGCGCCTACTGCAGAATCGCTCGAAGCGGATAAATCACAAATCACTGGGCTGTGAAGCCTAGAGCAGCATCAAATGGCATAACTGCAGGCGGGATGCGTTGACGTCATCTGGCCCTGCTGTTGACAAAGCTGCTATGGCCGCACCCTGGCCGTGGAACGAAGTTTTCAATAAAAACAAGGGGCCTGATGCTGGTTTGCAGGAGCGAAGATTAGAGAAACTATATGAAGTTTCCTGAATGTAACGCCAGGGCCTCGCTTCCAGAATTCAATGCGGTTAGCATCCCCCTAACGAGTTCATCTCTTCATCCCTGTCACGAGCCCAGCTTGAAGCTGCAGAGAACATTGCCCAAAACAACACCGGAAACAAAAAGCAATCAACCCACATGGAATCTGAGAGTATGTGCAATCCGGGTCGCGGTTCACGGCGGCCACTCAGCCACTCTAGATCCTGACCGGCCACTCAGCCACTCAAGATCCTGAGTGGCTGAGTGGCTGACACGAAGATAGCGTAGCTGAGTGGCTGACAGGAACAAAATCCTGAGTGGTTGAGTGGCTGACAGGAAGAAATGTCTGAGTGGCTGAGAGGAAAAAACAAGCCTGAGTGGCAGAGTGGCTGGCAGGGAGAAAAGTCTGAGTGGTTGAGTGGCTGATTGGAAGGAAAGCCTGAGTGGCTGACAGGAAGGAAAGCCTGAGTAGCTGAGTGGCTGAGTGGCGGTGGTAGTGGTAGTGGTAGTCGTCGTCGTCGTAGTAGTCGTAGTAGTCGTCGTCGTAGTAGTCGTAGTAGTCGTCGTCGTAGTAGTCGTAGTAGTCGTAGTAGTCGTAGTAGTCGTAGTAGTCGTAGTAGTCGTAGTAGTCGTAGTAGTCGTAGTAGTCGTAGTAGTCGTAGTAGTCGTAGTAGTCGTAGTAGTCGTGGTAGTCGTAGTAGTCGTAGTAGTCGTAGTAGTCGTAGTAGTCGTAGTCGTAGTCGTAGTCGTAGTCGTAGTCGTAGTCGTAGTCGTAGTCGTAGTCGTAGTCGTAGTAGTAGTAGTAGTAGTAGTAGTAGTAGTGGTAGTAGTAGTAGTAGTAGTAGTAGTGGTAGTAGTAGTAGTAGTAGTCGTAGTAGTAGTAGTAGTAGGAGGAGGAGGAGTAGTAGGAGTAGTAGGGGTAGTAGGGGTAGTAGAGTAGTAGAGTAGATTTACATCACTCATCATACACCACTCATCATACACAACATATCATACACCACTCATCATACACCACTCATTATACACCACTCATCAAACACCACTCCTCATACACCACTCATCATACACCACTCATCATACACCACTCATCAAACACCACTCCTCATACACCACTCATCATACACCACTCATCAAGCACCACTCATCATACACCACTCATCAAACACCACTCATCATACACCACTCATCAAACACCACTCATCATACACCACTCATCAGACACCACTCATCATACACCACTCATCAGACACCACTCCTCATACACCACTCATCATACACCACTCATCATACACCACTCATCAGACACCACTCATCAGACACCACTCATCAGACACCACTCATCATACACCACTCCTCATCCAGTTGGCTCTAGTTTCAAGAGCTCTAGCTCCAGTTAGCTCTAGTTTCAAGAGCTCTAGCTCCAGTTAGCTCTAGTTTCAAGAGCTCTAGCTCCAGGTAGCTCTAGCTTCAATAGTTCTAGCTCCAATTAGCTCTAGTTTCAATAGCTCTAGCTCCAGTTAGCTCTAGTTGCAATAGCTCTAGCTCCAGGTAGCTCTAGTTTCAATAGTGCTAGTTCCAGTTAGCTCCAGTTTCAACAGCTCTAGCTCCAGTTTACGTGGCAGGCGAAGCACTTTGTGAACGGGCTTAGAGTAGATGTGATTGAGGCGATCGGAGCTTCGGGCATTGAGATCGCAGGATTGATTTTGCGGTTATGAAAATGGGCCTCAAGTGACAGGGTTACACGGCGCTTGGCTTTCCGTGTGCCTGCATGGATGCGATCGTGAATGATCAAAGGCACCCTTCTTTTTCCACACTCACACCCCCCCTGCATCCGCAGGAGGCATCAACTCGAAACTGCCGTCAGAGTCCGAGCTATGTTCACACGGCGGCCGGCATTGCCGTCGAAATTCCCAGCCAGGCCGGACGCGATGAATCCAGCTCACGCCGACCCTCATAGCCCGCCAAGCGAGCAGCGTAGCCACCAATGTCCCCACCCAGGTGGTCCGCAGAGTCTCGAGCAGGTTCCATCTTCAATCGAGATCTCCGAGGTCGAGGACGGCAGAGCAGCTTGCCAGCCGCTCTTGATAGCTCCGGACTGGAGCTCCCATAGCCATGGTGCCGGGACGACACCGTTCCAGGAGGGGGAATGGGGCCCTGCTCATGACTGGCCTCAACCTCTTCTCTTGTTGCATCTTCGGCCTGGACGGCAAACTTCACGTAGAAAAAGGTGTGCCTACGTGGACGCCCTCCACATCCGAGTTGCCATTCTCAATCCAATTGTCAGTGAAGACCTTTCTGCGCCAAAGCTCTCGAGAGTTCCTCCTCGGGAGAAGGCAACAGTGACGAACGCGTTCTTTTTTTAAATTTTGTTTCCCTCAGAACCCTCGCCACCGCCAAGGCCACAACCCAAGCACTCCCATCGGTCCACGCCCGTCGGCGGAGACTGGAACCTGTCAGCCAAGGCTCATCCGAGCCCAGTCCACGATGCCTGACCGGCATCTTCAAGGCGCACAGGCGCCCAAAACCATGGCTTCGCTGGTCGCCGCTGGGGATCAGGTCGGGTGCGAAGGTGGCACGTGTCGAACGAAAGTGGGCGAGCGACGTGCGAAGCAGGTTTTGATCCAACACCCTGGAAGGATCCATCTGCTGTTGCGCCGGGTCATCTTCCCTCGACCATCTTCTTTCATTTGTTTTTGGAATACCTCAGGCTTCTTGGTTGACTGGCCATGGGCCGTGTTGTTCAGGACACTTCCTACAAAAGCAGTGAGGGCAGCCAAACCTACTGGTGAAACCAGCCGAACAACCGCTCTCATTCCAGAACAGCAGCAATCAAGCCAAGGGAGCTCCACAGGCAATCTGCCTCATCTTGGACAGCGGCCGCTCATTTGGGGGTAGCTGCAGGGATGCCGATCTCATGCCAATCGCCTCAGCATGGCTGCGCAACCGTAGATGCCTGTTCTCCAGGGACCACTTGGGGCATGGAGCAGCTGCAAACGTGAAAGGTTGTCACCTCGGAGCACATAGGAGCCCTGTGGAGACAATCCATTCAGCTCCAACACGTTCACCACCGCCCCAACGGGGTGAGGCCATCCACGTAGCCCAGCAACTCACATTCGGTGCTATTCAAAGTTGCAAAGGCCTGTGTTTTGGATTCCCAGACCCCAAGCGCACCACCCTTGCCACCAGTAGAGCAAACGACGAGTCGGCCAGAACCCCCACCTTGCTAAGCGCCTGTGCCCTGCCATATTGATCAACCACAGCAGAGCACGGAGAGTACGCCAGGGCATAGTCCAAGGTGGTGGATAGTAGGTCAGGATACCTGTTCACAATCTCTCTGGCATAGTCCGGCTGACCAATCAACAGATCCGACCCTTGCCATCGCATTTCGGTGCCACAGAACTTTAGCCATCTACCCTCAGTCACCCATGTAGGTGGAGCGCACTTCCACATTGAGGGCAGCTTCTTCAAAAACTGCCCAGCCACCACATGAGGTGCAGTGACAACGAAGTCGTCCACATAGGAGAGGGTGCTGCCATCGCCCATGACATTCACAAAATCATCTTCAGCAGCGCCGGTAGCGGTCATCAAGCGCCCACCATCGCATGCTCTGCCGCGCATCATCCCGGTACGAGTGCCAGTCTGCAGGCGAGCTGTCCAGTCCGTACACATGGAGGTTCACAAAAGTGCTGCGCCTGCCACGAAATCTGCACATGGAGGTTCACAAAGTGCAACACGCAATCTGCACATGGAGGTTCGCAAAGTGCTGTGCCTGCCACGCAATCTGCACATGGAGGTTCACAAAGTGCCGCGCCTGCCACGGCATGGAGGCTCACACAGTGCGGTGCATGCCACAAAATCTGCCCATGGAGGTTCACGAAGTACTTCGCCTGCCACGCAATCTGCACATCGAGGTTCACAAAGTACTTCGCCTGCCACGGAACCTGCACATGGAGGTTCACAAAGTGCTGCGCCTGCCACGAACTCTGCCCATGGAGGTTCACGAAGTACTTCGCCTGCCACGCAATCTGCCCATGGAGGTTCACAAAGTGCTGTGCCTGCCACGAAATCTGCACTTCAAGAAACAAGTGACTGCTGGAGCTTCCGGGCAGGGCGGCGCGCCGCCCTCCCCCGCCGTCCTGGCAGACCTCACGCAGGACGGACGCGCGAGTGCTCCCGTGTACATAGTTCCCGGCCGTCTCACTGTCTCACCTCGTTGCCGCTGCTCCTGAGGGGGGAAAAAACTCTAATCACAATGGAGGGGCGATTTCATGACCCGAGACCGTCTCGCAACCGTCGTTCCGCAGAGCTTCCCCGTCGAGGTTCGGAGCAGTATGGAGGTTCACAAAGTGCTGTGCCTGCCACGAACTCTGCCCATGGAGGTTCAAGAAGTATCTTCGGGAGAGAGAGGGAGAGAGAGAGAGAGAGAGAGATGTCAAGAGACAAGTTCTTTTACAATAGTTCATTTGCTCCATCGTAGTGTTCATGTACAATTGCACGGTGCCATACAATGCACCTTGGATCGAGGCCTTGAGCCTAAGGACAGTTGCCAGAGGAAAACAATACAGAGACGTGCACAAACAAACGACAAACAAACAGCTGCTGAATTTT